TCAGTGACTTCCACAGAGACACCTCTGACTCTACCCACTGCCAAGGAGAGTAGAAGCTTGCTGGGAGAGTACAGTGAAATAGTAGACGCCCAGCGTGGGGCCAGATCTGCACAAGGTCAGTGCTTGCCCGCAAGGAGCTCGCACCTCTAAGGCTTGCAGCCCAGCTGCTACCTAGCTCTTCCTTTTCACCATAAAACATGTTGCTTTCACAGTCTCTTGACTGCAGATGGCATTGACTGTATTGTTTTCACTGGTATGTATATATGTATATAGGATGTATATACTGACTGTAAATGCCTGTCCTTTTTTCTGGGGTTAGGTTTTGACCATTTTTTCAGCCTCCAACTATTATGAGATTGGCAGCAACAGGGGAGCCTATGTGAAGCTGGGGCCGGACCTGGTTCCCCATTTTGTTCAGTACCAAGCGAGCAAGACAGCCCATACTCTCACCATGACCCAAAGGCAAGGCTTTGCAGTTTTTGACTCAGCTCAGCTTTTGACTGCTGACGAATTCAAGTCAAATTCCAAAAGGGAAGACTTTGGGAGCTTTGAGAAAGTTTGGCTCCAGAGCTGAACTTTCACAGCTTGATTTACTAAAGATTGTTTCTTAGGGGTATGTAGTAGTCCTACAGGAGCATTCAAGCCTTGTAGAAATTTCTGAGGGAGGTTCAGGGGGTGGGGAGGGAGTGTTGCAAGATCAGAAGAGGATTGTTTGTTAGACTGTTGTTTTCCAACTTCTCTTTTCAATGTAGAGTTTTAACTTTTGATCCTTTTGAAGTTCCTTTCCACTTCATCACTTCACAAGTTGCATAGCTATTAAAAGCCTCTGCAACTGGTATTGTAGAAGTGAAACAAATACGGGTAAACACCAACTGCGGAAGTTAGCTGGGATGCGGTGTTCCTCCCTGAGCCTGGCCTGATTGCTAGCAACTTGTATGGGCAAGGGTGAGGGGTTCTGCGCTGTGCCAGGGATCGACTGCATTGACTGCAGGGAATTCCGCTCCAAGCACGCGGCGACTTGTTGCGGGCAGTGCGATGCAGCGTAGCTGCGCAGGGCCGTTGTGTGAGGGTCTGGGCAATCCAGGGACAAGTCGAAGGAATGGGAAGGTGCGGTGACTCTTGCAGTTTGTGGTGAGCCCTTACGTGCTTCTCTATCTTTCTGCATCCTCCAGAATCAGCAGAGTAGAGGAGTCAGCTTTTCGAGCCTTGCGGGAAAAGCTCTTTGCTCACACATCAGCCCTCATCAGTGCATTCAAGGCCTATGATAAGGATGGTACAGGTAAATCTGAGCCAAGACACGCTCAAGTCAATTCCCTGATGGCACAGGGTTGGAGAGGGTAAGTCAGGTGCGCGGCTGCTTGAGAGGCTCCTCACGGGACTGTCAGCTGCTCTGTCACGAGGAGGCTGCCTCGGATCCAGTCAAAGCCTTGGTCCTGTTTGCCGCTGTTCAGCGTCTCTGCTAGGAACCTATTAACGCCTCAGAGTGGCATTATAATGAGGAAGGTGTCAGGAGGAAAAGCAAGAGGCAATTAGCTTAATTTGCATCATTTTAGACTCAAGAAAAGGAAAGCCTTTGGAACAGGACTACTGAGGAAGTGCTGGAGAAGGTGGCCTGGCACATGTCAGTCGCATCTCTCTCGGGGAACTGCGTGGTCTCTTCGAGTCCGTTCAGCCACGGAGTCTAAAACCAGTAGCAAGCGGAAAGTGAAGGAGCCGATGCCCTCAGCAGAAGCTGCCTCTGTCAGAGCCTTAAGGAGGGAGCTGTGAGCTTGTAGCTCTGGGCTGCTTCTCCACCAGCCAGGAGTGCTCTGCTGGTGCAGTGACCTAGACGTGCTACTGAAGAGATCTGCCCGTGAGGGGGAAACAGACACTGAGCAGAACTGTGTTCTTGTGCGTATCCCTTCCCTGGCAGCGAAATAGGTTGCAAATTTAGATTTAGCAGGTATAGCAGCTGTTAAAATAGCAGCTTTTCCAAGTGCTGGGTCACTGAGAAACTACTAGCCCAGCTGTGAAGGCCACAATCTGCAGGGCACAGGCTTGCAATGAAAAACCCAGTTAGTTAGCATCTTCCCGCTCTGCCTTGTTTGGAGGTTTGCGACCCCACTGCCCTGATTTAGGCAACGAAGACCTTGCTGAGGTCGAGGGGAGCAGCAAGTGCTTATGCCCTGCAGTGAGGGCTGCGGGCTGATGTCCTCTCTATGGCTGTGTAGGGCTTTTTCCTCTGCCAAAGCACTCAGGTGTGCCATGCAG